TTGAATATGTCAACTGAAGAACTGCAAAAGAATGGAGCCAGATTTTTCTCCAAAATATGAAATTTTTAAAGAAGCCCCACTTTTATTCGGTGGCATACAGAAGGCTAGCTCTTTGTATCTCTTGCAACAGATCTACACCTATGATTTCCAGGATGCCTTATATAATATTTATAATTCGACCTGGCTTGGGTTCAAACCCAGTCGAACGGACTGGATACACGGTTTGTTTTCGTGGTTCCGCCCCATGTGTAGCATCAATATGAGATATTTCCCTTCAAAAGTCCTCCTCGAAGGCATCTTTCCTCTTAAGCAGATAGCCCTTGTGAGTTGCCATAAATAATCTAACCTAACCTAACCTAAATACAATGTATACGGATAAGTAAGAAACTTAGTGGATAGCCGATCCTCCTAGAGCGGGAAAACGAATGGTGGTGAGGACTGGAAGATTAGAAGCATGCGCGCCTGAATCCGAAGGTAGGGTCACTGGACAGACGCCTTCCCTAGTAGGGGTTATGCAACTTCTTAATTATATAACTTTCAGAATGTATCCTTTCCTTTATAACAAAAAATAGCATGTTTAAACAGTCAAAAGTCGTTAATCCAGACTCGTCGGGACTTCGGCGATTCGATTTTTTCTGGATTATAGATCATCAGTTTAAACCTCGTAAGATGGCATGCAGAAATTCTAAAATTAAAAATATGAAACTGTAATTTATGAAATAAAGAACAATTACGATCTAAAGGGTATCAAAATTTACCAAAAAGAAAAGCTTAATATTTATTTGTTTACTTTATTAAACATTTTATTCAATGTAAGTTGTTTAAGTTGCTTTGTTTTATGTGATAATACTTTCTCTTTAATTCTATAAACAGACATAATTTCTTGTTCAGTTACAAAGTTCCGCTGTTCCAAGTCCCGTAATTACTGTGCCGAGAATACCGACTAACTCGTCAATCGAAATTTTTTCGTTTTCACTAACCTCTCTGTCACCTTCTTCATGTCTTTATCCAATTTTTGCAGCAATTCCACTTTTTGTTTGATGGACATCGAAACATACTTTCGTTTTGTAGATCCTTTGGGAGCTCCAGAATCGGAAATTCTATTTGACATAATCGAAAGTTCAAGTTTACTTTTAATAAAATTGCTCTTACAGTCTGCAAAAAGTAATAAGCCGGATCCAATTCGAAGATTAACGCGTAAACGCCTATGCGCATGTGTCAACGCAGTGCATGCGCAGAAAGTTTTTAGCTTTGAGGTCCGGATTATGTGTGTCCGAATTAACGACTTTTGACTGTACTAAGTTTCTTAGTATAAAATGGATTTTACGTTTTATCTCAAACCCTACCTAATTCTGTGTTTATTTAAAAAATTAAAATTTGTTAGAGAAAGGAGGGTGCAGTTTTAAGTTTTTGTTCCCACCACGGAAAAATCCAGGACCCAGTGATAAGTTGTGGTAGGATCTTTGCATGGTCCTGCTGGCAGAAAATGCACTTCGATTTTTCATCACAATAGGATTACGTCAGTCAAAATTGGATGCTTCTAGGTACCGTTGTTTTATCACAATGCGAGAAACATACATACATTTATGCAGATTCTTCATTATTTAATTTCTCCAAATATCATACAGGGCGATAGTATTTGGTGGCAACCATTATGCAGCCTTTTAAAGTTTTCAACGCAAAATTGCAAAACGAAAATAATAGTCCTTCAGGGACAAAGCCACTTTGGACTAAAAATTGGTAATGAGCATGAATGAACGATATCACGAAGAATGAACGATATCACGAAGAAAATACCGCTTGATACTAGACAGTTAAAAATGGCCAGTATTTTAGAAAGAAGAAAATGTAAAGAAGAAACAGTATTATACTGTCTGAAGTGAGCATGAAAATCGAGTATGTTTCACATTATAATTATCTTAAGAGTGACTTTTTTTTTAAATATAAAATTTAAAATGGTAAACATTTTAGAGGAAGAAGAATACTGAACTGATGATATCGTGTGAAACTTTATAATCAAAACAGTCTGAAAATTAATATGTACCTTAAAAATTCCCCGATTAAGTTTGCCAACTCTGGCAATTGACAGAGGTGGCCGATGTTAAACCTAAGAAAACAGTTTTTTAAAATTCAGATTATGTGTTTTTAAATAAAGACTTACAATATAATATCGTAAAATCAAGGAAAGACTGAATTGTTTAGATTTTGGAAAAGCGTGCGAAGGGGTATCTGCCTGAGAGAGAGGATGACTTTTTTGGGGAACTTTTTAAGGTAAACCATGAAATTTGTCATGCAATCTGACGATTCGCTGAAATATGAATTACCAGTATTCAGCGATTTTACCACATTGGCCTCCGGTGATCAAATAAAAAAAGGATTAGAAGTTTAAATTAAACTGCAAGATATATGAATTATTTTTATTATTTTAATGTTTTAAAATTTTGTATGCTGAAATTAAAAGATTTGTGTTAGTGAAAATACGTAAGATATTCTGGTTATTTCACTGAAATTATTATGCACATTAATGAATGTTTCTCAAGTATTGCATTATAGTTTTTACTTTCTTGTACGAAGTAAAGGAAGTATTGTAATCACAAAAAATTTTGCGTGCAATATTTGAACGAAAATATCTATCTTGATTGCTATCGAATGCAATTTAACGATGTTTTTGCATGACATCTGTACATAAGGACAGAATAAAGGACTCTTTTTCCCCCCCCCTTATTTAAAATGGATTCAGAAGAGATTTTTTCATGGTGTGTGTACGTACGTATATATTTATGTATGTATATCGTATAACTCAAAAATGAATAGCCTCAGAACATTGACATTTTGTACCTGGGTCTGCCATAACATGTAGATGTGCACCTCCCTTTTTTGTTGCATTAGGCAGCACCAAAAGTATATAAATATATATCCACTCTGTTATTCGGCTCAGTCAGTTCAGTTTTTTTTTTTTTTTTTTTCTTATATGTTTTTAAATTGTGCATTTTTTGGCTTTAAAAATGATTGAATTATATTGTTCTTATCTTCCGGTTAAGGTTTTTATGCCTTTAGCAAATCTGCAAGCAATATTTGTACAATTATCAACAATTTAAAAGCTGTTTAAGTGCGGTTAGGCCTAATTTTTAAATAATGGCAGACATATTTATTTACATTTGAAACAGCAGAATAGTAGATTTGTTGCCAATCTAGTGAAACTAAGTTTTGTAACAAAAGTAATGTCTTCGTTTATTATTGCGAATTAAATTATGCATAATCCATTCTGAAATTATCATTTATTTAAGTTATTAAATTGTCTCATATATTGACTCGGCATAGCATCCACAACAAATTAAGTCAGTCAATTAAGTCATCCTCAGTGTCTTATTGCCGAGTGAGACAAAAAGCAAACTTCAGTTTTGTGCACCAAAAAATCTGTCTTCTTGCCCACTGGCCGAATTGCTTAATTTTGCGTAGAAACTGTAATTTTAATTGTAAAAAAATTTTTTTAACTGTGTTTGGTGTTTTATGTTTTTCTATATCTTTCAATTTTTAATATAGCTATTTTGAGTTTTCATGTCATGAATTTTATGTATTTTTAATGTATTTTTGCCTTGTCGCGAATTAAGAACTTAATTAATTGAATGACGAAAGTCCTTTAATGAAATTCGAGGAAATACGTGTTTCATATTAGCAGTAAATACTGTTGCCAGACTATTTCGGGTAGAGGAGAATGTTTACGAGTAGCGCATGCTCACTAGGTAAGCAGCGCTGAATCGTCTGTGAAAAACTGTTTCTTTTTTATTTGTTTAATTTCTTTTATACATGGTTTTAGATTTATTTTAGTATTTGAATTGAACATGTGGCAACGATTCGATAATTCTTGATATGATATAATTTTTTTTCATTCTGAGTTATAAAATGAATGAGATGTAACGCTGTTAAATGAACCTAGTGCCAGAGTATCACTATGGTAAATAAATAGAGTGAATTTTAAAAAACATATTTATTCTGTTGGGGTTTATCCGCTATCAATGAAGTAGACTTAATTCTATTCAATAAGTTTAAATGAAATGCAGGAAAAAATGTATATAATTTAATCTTCCATGTAAGGAAGTCATGTGGTGTACACATCAAATTTTTTTAATAAGTTTGTAATTTGTCTTGCTAAGGAAGGCTAAAATATTTTGAAAATTATTAATATAGAAAAATAGTGAAGAAATAACATTTCTTGTTTTTCGAAATGAAATTATTAATTATAATAAATTATGTAATATTCAAAATATGCAGAAGAAAGTGGAATTTTATAAGGGCCTTAGAAAAGAATTGTAATGGTGAAATTCTGTGGTCGGAACAAATGTGCTTAATAAGCATCTTTGTATGGGGCCTCAAAATCCTTAAACCAACCCTTTCTATTGCATCTATCAAAATAGATATAAATCCATTGATATTAAAAAAAAGATAATTAATTATTCACATTGGAATATTTTCATCATTTTCTCCCTAACAGTTTCTTTTGAATTAAAAAATTTATACAGTTTTATCAGTGATGGAAGATCATATATCCTAGTAGCTACAAAAAGTTGACACATCTTTTCTGCTTCATTTTTATCCTTTTTTCAAATTATTCTCATTAAATAAAATTTTATAATCTGAACCCATGTTTTTATTATATCATACTACATATAAGGCAAAGAAGAGTACTTGTAGATTAAAAAGTTTGGAAAATTATTATTTTTTTAAAACTTCGTTCATTATTATTGTATAATATTTCCGATACATTGTTGTCCTTTGCTCAACTGATGCATTTCAGAAGTTCTTGTTCTAATGTCTGGTTTATTAAATTTTCATTTAAAGAAAAATTAAGCAGATATTTATAAAAGTATTTTAAATATTCACTATGATTTGCGATTTGCATAATGTTTTTGTTTTTTATTGACAGCTTGCCATTTTCAAAGTTTTGTTTATGATTATGTCATATAAAATGTATTTTAAATATTAAAATTCACATACTTTCTTTTGCAGTTGTAACTGGATCTACAGATGGTATTGGAAAAGCTTATGCTGAAGCTGTAAGTATACTTTGTTTTATTTTTTAATGAATCACTTTAAATTATTTATTAATTAATTTTTTATTAATTGCCACATTTTTATATCACATATTTCTTTTATTCCAGCTTGCAGCTAAAGGCTTTGATATTGTCTTGATAAGTAGAACTCCAGAGAAATTAGAGTCTGTATCTGAAGCAATTGGTAAGTGTTTCATTTGAAAGTTCATTAGTTATCCTTTTTATAGGGAAATAGTAATACCCATTTATGCCAGTTAAGTTACACTCATTTGTACCTTTCTAAGGTGTACCTATTTTATGAATATGTTTGCAATTAAACTCAATACTGTTGAAAAACTGACTGTAATTGAAAATGTCTAGTGTAATAGAAGTGTGGAATTTGAACATCAGTTACTGCAAATATTCATTCAGTTTACATCAAATGGATTTTTTTAAAAATAAATTAGTAGTTCTGCATTTCATTTAAAGCAGATTTTACTATAACAGTATTTGTATAAAATATGTGTATTACATTCATATTGTTAAATCTGTGATACTTTGATAATGTGTGACATTATATTATCTTATCATTAAATTATTCTGAAGTTGTAAGATAAGTACAGTACAAACAAAGTCCGTAATCCGGAGTCATCGGGACAGCGATTCCAGATTTGGAATTTTTTCAGATCTTAGATTACCAGTTTAAATCTAGTAAGATGGCATGTAGAAATTTAAAAATTAAAAATATGAAATCGTGATGTGATGTATGAAATACTGAAGCAGTTATGATCTAAAGCAGGGATGTCAAACTCATAGGTACACTTGGGCCAAACAAACAAGGTTTAACTTTAGGCGGGCTGCAAAAAAAAAAAAAAAAAAAAAAAAAAAAAAAAATCAATATTCATAGAAACGTAGATTTATTTCGAATAATACAATAATAAACATATATATATATATTTATATAGAAAAGAACAAGAAAAATTTAATGTTTACGTCCTGATACTTGACATCTCTTCTCTGCTATTATCTTTCCTATTTCGGGAGAAATTTTGTTTGCAGTGATAAGTTTCAATGCTGACCCAAGGTGAGCATCATTAATACGGTTTCTAATAGGAGACTTATTACCTTTCATGACTGAAAATAACTGCTCGCTCCGATAAGTGCTACCAAACATGGAAATAATTTCACATGCGAATTTTCGAGTATTTTCAAACCTGGTGGTAAATATTTGTAAAATTCAGGCACGCCCACTTCAATGAATTTTGCTTTCAAATTTGAATTGCATTGAATCTCGATCACCTCCATTTGCATATGGCTGGGTACTGAGTCAATACTTATTGAGAAAATCGAAGAAAACAAAAAAAAAATTGTCTTCGAGGGTTAAGTTCTCTGTTGTTAATAAAATTAGAACAAATATGAATATTTTAACAAAATCTAGCAGTGACATCTTCTCAATTTGAAATACAAACAAAAAAGGGGACCAACAAAATCTTATTCTAGTTTTATTTTATCCACCTATGGAACAGTGTTTACTCTTTTCTTTATCACTTTGTTTTGAAGGTAATATGGTCCAAAAGCTTTCTATCACAAACTATACACTCTTTAAAGCTTCACCCAGAAGTTCTGCAGTGTGAGTCTTTGCCTCCAGTATTGCTACTATACAGGTAACATATTTCAAGTTCCTTAGTGATCTGGAGCTTATGTTTAAAGACTTAAGCTTTTGGGGAAATAATCCCAAAGCCACAAATCCAGTTTGCAAGCCAGCCATGAAATGTTAAGATGCTATGAAATAAGGCATCCAGGAAACATTCTGCACTTACTGATATTTAGGCTGTAAAAAATCTTATAACATCTATACATACTGTTGACATATGACCTGTGTACATCTCCCAAAATAAATAAATAAATCTATGTTACTGATCATTACTGAATTGATATTCGTGATTTTCAAATACTAACAATCAAGAGAACCAACCACACAGAGGCCAATTAAAACTTGGCTGGGGTATTCTGGATACATTTCATTTCTATTCAGAATTGTTGAAAATTTGAATTGGTATAATACTTCATACTATATTTAAAGGAGGGGAAAACAGTCTGGGGTTTATGTTGGTAAATTTGGAGAGAAAAAAAATTCTGAAAAGGTTCAGATTTTAATGTTGTAAGTTTTATGTGCTTTTGCTAAGACTACTGTTGTTCAGCCTGTTCTTGTACTCAGTGCTGTTGAGTATTTTATTCTTCCATAAATAAAATAGTAATATAGTCTTAACCAGATTAGTAATATAGTTTTAACCGGATTAGTAATATAGTCTCTGGCAACACACAGAAACATGCAGATTCGCAAACCACGAATGACATGACTTGGAAAAACATTCTCCACACCAAAAGATTATGGAAACATAATAACTCATCAGATGACAATTATCCCTAACTTAACTTAAGCTCCCAATTCAGACTGCTAAAAAGCAAACAAAACCTCGATGAGGACAACAATGTAGAAGCCGAAAATGAGCATGATGTGAATGCTAAGCCTTTCAAATCCTCCAGGAAATATGCAAGTAATAAAATAGTGAAATAAAAATTTTCATTGGTTGCTTCAAGTAAACTCTAGCAACCATGACGAGTACAAGTGATTTGGAGCATCATTGTTCCTCTAGGATTAACTTACATTGTGGCATCTGTTTATATGAAAGGTGATATGGGCATATAAAAAGTGATTCAACAAAGAAGTCTGGTTCAAAATTAATAGCCCTTTCAATTTTTTTTTTTTTTTTTTTTTTTTTTTTTTTTAAGGAACATATATGTTTTATTAATACTTTAGCTAGCAAGCTATTGTTTCTTTAACTTTCAAGCAGGATTGTTAAAGATATTTTATTGATTGTCTGTTCATGGTTTGATATAACATAACTATTGTAACTGTTGTGCATACTTGTAAGATATTGTAAAATGAGACATGTAAATGCATTTGTATGCTATTAAGCTTTATTTATTTTTGTTGTTTAATTGCAGAAAAGAAATATGGTGTAAAAACAAAAACTGTTGCAGTTGATTTCACCGGTGATTCTGTTATCTTTGATACTATAAGGAGAGAAATTGAAGGTCTAGAAATAGGAGTTTTAGGTAACTCTTAAATTCTGCATTAAGGTATTTAGGCTAATTATAAATTTTATATGCAGTTTTTCTTAATAATGCTATTTATAAAAAAATGTGTTGTAGCAATATGGTTGAATTAAATAATTTTAATGATAGAATTTTAATGTCTTATAAATATGTAAAATATGAACTTCTACTGTAAAGGTTTTATTTTAATGCTGTTTGAACATCACTGGTGGTATTTAATATTTTACATATCTTAATGTAAATTAACTTCTTAAATAAAAATAAAATTATTCTCACATTTTAAAATAAATTCTTAGATACATTTTAAATTTTAGGTTCCATTAATTTCAAAATTTCTAATGAATATAAATTTATAGTCATAATACAACACTACATTGGTAACAAACCTGAGTTTGTAAATCTAACTATTACAAGGTTGTAATCGCTACTTATTAGACTTTTGCAATGAGCATGCTGAGTATTGTTACGAAATGCCCAGCCGCAGTAAGATAGCTTCCCCACAAGGCGGATTTAGGGCTAGGAAAGGAAGAGATGCCAAATTTGGTATGAAATCGCCCATTTGTTGAAATTTGGCATCAAAACTGGCGATATGCCGTAGACAGGTGGAAAACCTTCTGGGACGAATTCTTACTGATTTGGCTCAAAATGTTCTCAAAAGCAAGACAAAAAAACCCTGACTGCATGCAGAGTAGTAGTGTCTTGTCAGAGTCTCAATATAAAGTTCATTTCTTAGTAATAAAGAACAATAAAGCTGTTGCAAATTACAATTTAATCATATTCTTACCCACTTATTCAAAACTGTAGCACATCCACTTAAAGGCAAAAGGATAACTTCTGTTTTTGCATGCCACTATATATGAAACATTACTGAGGACAGTATTCCACATTCCAGATGGTTTACATAACTTTGAAAATACAGCACCATAAAAATTTTCATTATTCAGACATGTATACCAGTGTTGAAAAAGGATAAAAATATACAGTTAGAAAAATAAATCTTTTATTTCAAGGGCCCTGGATGGCATGGGTGGTTTTTCCCTCATCAAAACCACACATCATAAACTAAACTAACATTCTTAATGTACAGAAGAGGAGTTCCTTCAAACAGCATTACAAATTAATCATTTGGGGATTTTCTCAACATTAAGAAAGCAAAAAGTATAATGTCCCCCCCCTTTTTTTTAAATTTATGTTTCTCTACATCCTTTCACAAGTTACTTAAATTTTTGTTTTCCCAGCATTTCTTAAAATAATTGCTAAGTTTAGCTTCTTATTTGGTAGGTAAAAATTTATTCCAAGAATACTGAGTTTATAATTTTCTGTGCTAAATATTGAAAGTTCTTTATGATCAGCAAGTTCTTTTCATGTAAACAATAACTTTTCAAGAAGTAAGATTAGAGCCTGAAGTATCCATATGAACAGGTATTGGAAATGAGGAACAGCTAGTAAAATGAGAATGGTTTATGGAATATAAAGAATTTAGGAAAGCTGTTCAGTAAATTATCCCCAAAATCTTTGCCAGTAGTGCCCTAATAGAAATTTTCTGATCCAAAAATTTGAGAATAAATAATATTTAATTTTGTTTTATTTGATAGTTTCTGATGTCTTGATGTAACAGAAATGTGTTCATCTTCTAAATGACATTTAGCAAATTATCTGCTAATTTCATCAAAGCAATGAAAGTAGTTGTTTTTTAACATAGAGCAGGACTAAATTTGATAAAACAGAGTTCTTTAAAGAGGTTTTTTTTTTTTTTTTTTTTTTTTTTTTTTTTTGTTTGTTTTGTTTGTTTTGTTTTTGTTTTGTTTGTTTGTTTGTTTTGTGTGTGTGGAGAAAAATTGTAGCTTAAGTTTATCTGTTATGTATATAGATGTCATACAGATAGACATAGGTCAATAAATGCTGCTTGCAATGTGAAGAGTAATTGTGATAGTTCTTCAGACATTACTAAAATAAAAAATAAACCATCCACAGATAGATTCAGTTTGGTATCAAAATGTAAGTTTTGTATCTTTTGAAGAAGCTTACTGACATTTTTTATATAAGTTAATATTGTTACGAAATGTACAGGGGCGGTAAGATAGCTTCCTCGCAAAGCAGTTTTAGGGTTGCCATAAAATGGCAAGGGAAGGCAGGGTTGCCACATTTGGCTAGAAATCGCCCATTTGGCAACAAATAGGCGATACCCCATGGACTAATGGAGAACCTTCTGGAACAAATTGTTACCAGTTTAGTCCAGAATGTTTTCGAACACGAGCCGAAAGCTATATAAACCCTGTTTTTCCGCAGTCAGTCAGTAGTATTGAGAGCGTGTCTCGTCTAGCGAGTCAGTCCGTGCGGAGTCGATCGAGTTGACAGCCGGGCAGCGAGTGCCGACTGGCTCGTCGAGTGCACCACAAGAGTCTCGCAGTATTATGCGGTTAGTGCATTGTCGAGAGAGCGTGTTGAGCTCCAGGAACGACTGAACCGAAGAGTCAGGAGCTCTGCTCGTGTGTCGTCAAGTGCATTGGGAGTTGTAGCGTGGAGAGTCTCGAGAGTACGTGAAGTTCCGAGAACGACCGAGCAGAGTCGGGAGCTTTGTAGTGAAGCTGTCTCCACTGTTATTGCCTGACTGTGTCACTGATTGTTCCAGTGTGTTTATAGTAGATCTTCAATGACTGTAAAAAGTGTTATTGGAGGCTGTCCTGATTAATACCGGCCAATAAAGTGTGTTTCAATACTTCATCAAGTGTCGTCGTTATTCACTCCAAATCCACTCGAACCCTGTACGAACGTGAAGGAAGAAAGTAACGTAACAACTGGTGTCAGGAGTGGTGTTTGCGAGTGAATGCCAGTGATGCGCCTGCAGAGGAAAGCCATGGCGGAAGAAACAAAGACTTTGATAGACTTCTTAGCCAAGATGAGGGCTGAGATGAAAGCCGGATATGCTGAGATAAAATCTGGATATAAAGAGATAACAGCTGAGATCAAAGCCGCACTGAAAGATATGAAAGCGGGACTGGAAGATAAGAAAGCTCGGCGAGAAGAAATAAATGTCAGCCAAGAAAAGGTGCGAGAGCAACTCCAACAGGTGAAAGTGGAGCTTACAGAAGAAACTGGAGCCGTAAAAGATGATGTGGAAATGAGAGAAGTGGCTTCTGAAGAATCAAAGGATGAAGAAATGAAAGAAGTAACTAACAAACTGCCTGTGAAAGATCAAAAAATGATAGATGGAACATCTAACAGGATTAACAAAAAAGAACGAAAACATGAAGAAATAAAAGACGGGAAAGAAGCTTTTGATTATCACGTGCCTGAATTAGAGATAGAAGAAAGTGAAAATGTGATCGTCAAGTTTGTAGAAACTGATAGTGAAGTTACGAAGTCACAGTTAGCAAGTATTGAACCATCTGAAAGTTCATGTGATGCTGAGATGGAAGAAGCTGATGTACAACTTATCCAGAGTGCTCCATCACCGACTTCACAAACTATGTGTGCGTCTCATAGTGCTGATTGTGCAGACAAGGACTTGATTCTAAACCTGGATACTTGTGCTCGTAAAGGATCAGATTCTATTCGCAACCCTGGTGCAAACATCAGAACTGATTCCCAGGAAACGGAGGTGAATGGGCATGTACCAGCGGCTGAATATACCGAGGTGAACTGTATACATGATGGGAATGAACTACAGAGTGGTGTACGAACTGCTTTAGATTTTCCATGGATGAAAAGTCTTAAGGAACTGGATCTCCAGACTGTGATATGCAAAACATAAATATATCTGAGAACTGCAGTGGAAAAGTATTTGGCCCGGGTATAACTTAAAGAATAGACTGAGACTGCAATACATTCTGAACTTTTAATGTATATAATTTAAAATTGTTATGTATTTAATTTATGTATATAACTTTTACATAGTGTAAATATTTGTTTCTTTAGTTATGTTATGTGTAAATATTTGTTTCTTTAGTTATGTTATGTGTAAATATTTGTTTCTTTAGTTATGTTATCTGTATGTTTTAAAGTGATTTGATTGTATCGAATTTGGCTTCTGACCAAGGGTTGTACTGCCCGGGACGTGCAGTCCTTGGGAGGGGGCAGTGTTACGAAATGTACAGGTGCGGTAAGATCGCTTTCCCGCAAAGCAGTTTTAGAGTTGCCATAAAATCGCAAGGGAAGGCAGGGTTGCCACATTTGGCTAGAAATCACCCATTTGGCGACAAAATTGGTGATACCCCATGGACTGATGGAGAACCTTCTGCAACGAATTCTTACCGGTTTAGCCCAGAATGTTCTCGAACACAAGCCAAAAGCTATATAAACCCTGTTGGTTCGCAGTCAGTCAGTAGTATTGAGAGTGTGTCTCGTCTAGCGAGTCACTCTGTGTGGAGTCGATCGAGTTGACAGCCGGGCAGCGAGTGCCGACTGTCTCGTCGAGTGCACCACAAGAGTCTCGCAGTATAATGAGGTTAATGCATCGTTGAGAGAGCATGTTGAGCTCCGGGAAAGACTGAACCGAAGAGTCGGGAGCTGTGCTCATATGTCGTCAAGTGAATCGGGAGTTGTAGCGTGGAGAGTCTCGAGAGTACGTGAAGTTCCAAGAACGACCGAGCAGAGTCAGGAGCTTTGCAGTGAAGCTGTCTCCACAATTATTGCCTGACAGTGTGAAGGCTGTGTCACTGATTGCTCCAGCGTGTTTATAGTAGATCTTCGAGGACTGTAAAAAGTGTTATTGGAGGCTGTCCTGATTAATACCGGCCAATAAAGTGTGTTTCAATACTTCATCAAGTGTCGTCGTTATTCACTCCCACACGAACCCCGTACGAACATGAAGGAAAAAAATAACATAACAATATGATCAGGATGTCGTATTTACATAAGCTAAATAATTTTTTGATGGTAATAGGTGTATAATTTCTCCATCATGAATGTTCATAAGCTTTTCATAAACATTATGTTTAATTAATTGGTAAAATTTAAATTTTATCTAAAATAATTCTTAAATTCACATAAATTTAATACAAGATACCATGAATAATATTTTTAAAATCTTTCCTTAAAGTTATCTCATTACTGTTTTAAAACTGAAATTTTGTTACTTTTTTCGCTATAGTTGCAAATACAACAAACTAGATTTAGAGAATAAATAATTGATCAAAATTTTTGCACAACCTGAATTAAAATAGATCTTTCTATAAAATTACTAAATATCACACGAGTTCTCAAAAATTGTTGTCAAATTTGTAGTTACCATTTATTTAATTTTTTTATTATTTCAGTTAATAATATTGGAATGAGTTATGCATATGCTGAGTATTTGACTAAAGTTCCTCATGCACAAAAGGTTTGTCTTTTTAATATTGATTTCTGCTTTTGGTATATTTACTCTTTATAAAACTGTCTGCATTTCACATTTTAGCTAGTACTTTAATAAGTAGATACAAAATCATGATCATATCATAAGTACTACATTTATATTTTTAAAAAAATTGGATTTTTATTTGCTTTAAAATATTCAGAAGCAAATTATTCAGCATATATTGAAAATAAATTTTCCAGCATGTAACTTTCCAAAAGCTGAGACATATTTTAAAGTTTTTTTTCATTAGACCCTTAACATAATTTTTGGTGTGATTTCAGCTGTTAATTACTGAAAAGGCAAATATATAAGGCTACTATTTTCCTACAGCTTTAAACTACAAAGGGACTATTTAAAAATGTAACACATTTGTTGCTATCTCTGAGAATACTTGTAGTTAGCAAATTGGGTTTACTTGCCAGCATCGAGATAACTCGTTATTGATCATCTTATTTAAGTCTCCAAGTAAGAGTATTGCCCTAGCAAATGCATACAGTGTTTAGATGTTTGACATACAGACCTAAATAATATACCTAGCAAAATGAATTGATCATTTATTTTTCTAAACATACATGCAATAACTAAATGTTGAGAACTCGGATCCATTTATTGGCGCTTATGAATGGATTCTCCATTTTATCTTAGGCAGCAAACGCATTAAGCATGATCTTTTACCAACCTTTACTTCTTTAGAAATAGATTGCTAAATCATTTTATTTCTTTCTGTGTAAATAGTATAATAGACTCTTAGTTACTTATTGTATTTATCGAAATCATGTCGCTGTAAAATATTCTGTGAAACAAAATGTTATACAAACATTAAAAAGGATATTAGGAGAGATCACTTAAATGCATTATGTGAGGAAAATTAAAATTAAGATTGATATTATCAGATCCAATCACTTTAATATAGTATAAAATAGGAATTATAAATTTAGATTTTTTTAAACCTTTAAATGATTTGCAGATTTATGTTACTCATAAACTTTTCTAGGTATAATAAGTTAAAGAAATTAATACTTATGTATAGTTTATGCATACATAAGTATTAATTTCTTTAGTATGTATAGTTAGTTTATGCAGTTTTAGTATATCAATATACTATGTACTATAATTATAAAAATGTTTTTGTGTAATTGTTGGTATATATATATATATAATTGAAAAAGAAAATGTAAAGCGAACTGGTAATTAGACGTTGGTAGTTTTAAAGATTAACAATACTATTATGTATAACTTAATTTTTTCTTTTTTTTTGACGTTGTTTTTTAATATTTTTTTTGTTTTTTTTTTTTTTTTTTTTTTTTGTTTTGTCCTATAAATGTAATATTGTATGTTACTGCATAAACAAATTTAAAATAGAATTTTTTTATTCTTGAACTTTTAAATATTTTTTAATGTATTGTGAACAGCAATATCGTGTATAAAAATACAGCAAAAAGAATACAACAATAAACAGGTGTTAAAAATATTAATAGTCAGCAACAAGATTCTACATAACTTGCATAAATATGTAGGACTGTAGTTACAAAGGTTAGATAGTAAGAGTGAAAATGAGGAAGGAGAAATGTGTTTATGCAGTAACAACAGGCAAAAAAAATTGAGATGGTTGTAGGTTAAAGAACAAAACTTTAACTTGTTTGACTATTTTCTGAGATAGTGTCATTAATGAAAAATGATATATTGTATTTCACTGCAATTTCTGTATGCAATTAGGGTTCACAAAATTGTCTCTTGCCAACCAATCACAGTCCTAGATGACTTTGGTCTTCAGAGCAGACGGAAATCATAGAGAACATGGCTATCAGTACCAGTATTTAATCATTTTTTCAGAAATACTGATCACTTTTAAATATAATTGGCCTTCTATGGAAGGTGGCCAGCATGATAATTTTCATGTTCTTAAGAATTTATGCAATTTCATTAATACTAGAGAAAATATTTATTTAATGAAATAAAATAATCACTTTTAATATAGATAGATTTTATGTGTATGCTTTTTATTTGCAGTGTGATAAAAAGACTAAATATGAAATATGAAGTTGTTATAAAAGATTACAAAGATGATAGTTTAAAATGAAAATTTTCATTTTCTTATTTGCAGTTTGTAGAAAATCTCATAAAAGCTAATGTAGTCTCCTGCACTCGAGTAAGTAGCATCTGCGTTATTTTTATGAATCAAATAAAAATACAATGATGTGCTTAATGCAATATTGTAAATGAGTAAATTTATATTTTTTTGAATTTTACACAACTTATTATGCATTAATTTCCTTTTATTTGATGAATATTTTAATAAATGCCTTTTCATAATATATATGTAAGGTAAAAAATATGTAAGGCAAAATTAAATTAGAAATAGCCCTGTAATTCTTCATTTTAATTAATGGATCTCCCCTTTCTGCTCTGACAATAGAAATTGTTTACAATAATTTTTCTGGAATGCATCTTTCCAAATTAATCCATGTCATGCCATCTTATGTAATGCTTAGCAGTAAGGACAGATCTTTCCAATCAGATTGAAGAAACGTTTGTCTATACATATATATATATCACTTTTCTAAATGTGTGTTTTTTTTTTTTTTTTTTTTTTTTTTTTTTTTTTGTATCGACTTGCTGCTGCCAACACTTATCTCTGTAATCTATCATCCATTGTCTGAGAATGTAAGCTATACAAAACTGTGGGGTGCATATTGCACCCATAATAATGATGTGTGAAGAATATGTATCAAAGAATTAAGTGTCCAGAAATAATTTGTCTTGTCTTCAGCCACATCTTTTTGTGAATGTTATCTTATGTATGTATGCAGCTATCTTCTAACCATCAAGATATTTACAGAATATATATATATATACACACACACACCTTCAGAAGGCTGTAGTAAGAAAAGCTAAGATGAATACTGCCAAAAAGAACATTGCTCTAAATTCAGAAACAATTCAAGTTTTATTTGCAGCCATTACAGGTGTTCTATCTATGAATCCTTAGCCATATGGTAGACATAAATTCAATAGTCCAATTCCTGCCAGACTCTCTTCAGCACAGTACTGGCAACGGTATTGACAGCATGTGTGATTCTTTCATGCAGTTTGCTAATTCACACAGCAAAGGTGGTAAGAAAACAATGTCTTTTACATAGCCCCACATGAAAAAGTCACACAGTGGTAAGTCCAGTGGGTGTTAGGCCATGGCAAAAGAGTATATAATCTTCTGACGCTTATCCAATCCAACGATGAGGTAACTGTGAGTTGATGTACTCAACGCACATCCTACAAAAAATGGGGTGGAGCTCCATCTTGTTGAAAAATGAAGTCATCATCCTCATGTTCATGTAAATCTGGTATTAACCACAGGAATTAAGAGAAACTGCTATAAATTATAGTCCTGTAGGCAGTGCAAAGAACTGCAGAATTACAGCAGCATAGACAATTTCAGAAAGATTGTGAAGTAACAGACAAATATATATACGAATAGAGAATGTAACAATCATTCTCTATTCATAAAAAGCAAATTTAAAGTTAATTAAATTTTAAATAATGAAATTTAATGCAAACAAATAAATGAGTGTCCTGTTAAATTCAAATTTCATTCCTTGCAGTAATAGCACAAGAGAATTATTTAAATTTAATTTAACTTTACTATTTATTCTATTGAAACAATATATATATGTGTGTGTGTGTTTAAGATATAAAAATAGGAAGGGAAATTATTAACAAAATTCCGAATGTAACCTCTAACAATCTGATAATTTTCAGGAAAATGGTAAAAAAAGTGCTTTTTTTTTTTTTTTTTTTTTTTTTTTTTTTTTTTTTCAAGAAAATTGTTTAAAAATAAGTGTATGAACAATATATGTTTTCATTTTTAATTTTTTGAATTCTTTTAGCTTAGTCAAGAAAAATTAATTTTTCAGAAGAAATCAACAATCAGGGTTAAGAAATGGATTCTTTTTTAATCTTTTTAGGGCATTTTTTTTTAACACTCCAGCCCAGAAATATCCAAGGCATGAGACCTCTCCCCTTAATTTTGATGGGAAGGAGAAGGAAGGAGTTAATTCACAATAACCTTTTTTATTCTTAATTTTAATTTAACTATGACCTCCTTCAAACATGTCACTGATGTCATATTTTCCACATTGTTGTAAACTCTTGCTCAGTCATTGTCCAGGTCTCAAATAAAGCATTTCGAGCTTATTTACAGGCCTGCTGCTTTAATACTCATCCCTTTTTACCCTGCTGTTGCTTTGTAAGCATATAACTAACCACTTAGCAATTTTTCTTCTATGGGAACAATATAATCTGTGTATGCATAATTCAGGGATGCATATAACACCTGTAGTGCAGTACCAAGCAAGAAAAAAAGGATTTCTAAAGAATTGTTCCTGTTCAGAAATAAAAATGGATATTTAATCTTCATGATGGCAGTTGATTGCAGCTCCATCATTATACATTGTAATGCCACCACCATTCCACTCATGACTGCTAAAATAATTAGTGTCTTCTCACATTGTATCATCCAAAATGATTACATATATATACAGCCAAAAGTCTTTAATCCGAACTCGTCGGGACTTCAGCAATTCCGGATTATAGATCATCAATTTAAATCTGGTAAGATGGCATGCAGAAATTATGCAATTAAAAATATTAAACCGTAATTCATGAAATAGAGAGTAATTATGATCTAAAGGGTATCAAAATTTACAAAAAAAAAAAAAAAAGCTTAATATTTATTTGTTTACTTTATTAAGCATTTCTTCCAATGTGCGCATACGTAAAGCTTACATTACGCATAGTCGAAATTAGAAAATTGCAACCGGAAAACTATTTATGTGTATTCGTGATATTTATAATGATGAGGAATTTGATTTAAATCATATCAAACACGGAGTACATCGAGATGAAATACTACATTTAGTAAGGAATTATAAGCCGAATAAAGATGAGATCTGTCAGCACTCTCCTTATCTGCTCTGAAGATAAGGAGAGTGCTGAAGCTTTGAGGTCCGGATTATAGATCATTCCGGATTATGGACGTCCAGATTAAAGACTTTTGACTGTATAATTATGTAGAATCGGTACTTACTGTCTAGGAATATGATGTTTGTAAACTTACTTCTTATGTGGCTGTCTAGGGGCTAATAAACTAGTCCGATTTACAAATAACTTGAATATTTAATGAAACGTGAATAGTTGCTACAAACTACAAAGTAATTACATACGTAGAAGGAAATAGATGAGATTATTTACAGATGAAGAAAAGGAATCGCCTTTACATTCAAACATCTTTTAATCGTGTCATCGTCTTAATGGCAGAATCGTCTGACTTCTATCATCGGAAAAGTAAAAGTTTTATTCTCACAGCTTGTTGCGTCATCCGATTATAATGAACGATGCCATCCCACAACTGCTCGTCCATCCTGATGGAATTCGGCCTCGCATTCTCGTAGCACCACCATCTACATCTAGGGATCTGAAAAATAAAAAAAAATAAAAAAAAAAAAAAAAAAAGATTTTTAGTTACTATTGAGGGAAAAGTCATCCTAAATGGTTTATTTCAGTCATCTTCCCTTATCATGTTAACATCCTCAGAAATAACGGCGTTAGCTCTTTTTAAATGCTCTTTCAGTTTTTGTTCATCTTGAACAGTCTATCTGAATACATGTATTTTACAAACACATCTTCCTTTGATGTTGTCTGGAACAATTCATCTTCGTATTTACGTCTTCTTAAACATCATCTGAATACGTCTTTTGAATGCGTCTTAGATATCTTCAAGATCCGTCATTCGAATGCGTCTTCTCAAAATCATCTTCTTTAAGCCGTCTTCCTTCATACTCTTCATCCTTACAATAGTTCATTAGTCAAATACGGAAAAATTAGTGAAATCGGGTAAAAGTTTATAATCATAAATCATCAAAATTGGTATTTCATTGTCAAAGCCTTTTGGTTTTCTTCCTGGATCTTTTGAATCTGCTTTTTCTCTTCTTTTTTCTCACCTTCCTCAGTTTCTTTTGTTCCTCCTTTGCTTTCTGTATCAACATCGTTGTCATCACGTTTTCTAACTGACTTCTTCTTTTCAATCTTCTCTTCTTTTTCAGTGGTCTTTGTAATTTCTTCGTCTCTAGTGGCTTCTTTTGCTTCTCTATTGCAAGGTATTTTACTGAAATTGTTCTAGTAGAATTTGCATTTGATTCATTATCTTTAGCAACTGACTCTTCTTCGGGAAAATGATTCTCTTCAGAATCTCCTTCTGCAGTGTCGTTTCTCCTCGTTGGCTCCGAAGCTAATTTTATTGTGCTTGAGTTTCCTTTTTGCACTAATTCAAATTCATCTTTAATAGCATCATTTTCACTTATATCAGAATCTGCATCACTCGGGACGTCGTCAGAATTGACAATCAGGAAATCATTGCCACTTGCTTTGATTGTGGATGAGGTATCCAGTTTGATCACATTCTGTACTGTAACAGGACTATACTAACAGGATTAGTTTCTGGTTTTGGAAGTAAAAAACCATAATTAACAACCTTTTCAAATCCTTCTTCAGAATCATTTCCATTGCAATAAGCATTTTTTTGCTCTTCAGAATCATTCTCAGATTTCTTGTTTTTTGCAATAAAACAAATATTTGATCGAAATGAAGAACCATCGATTTCGAATTCACCATAAAATTTTCCTATAGGCTTAATTTTCCCATTACCAAACCCTGTTAACTGTAGATCTGCCGACTTAAGTTCAGGAGAACCTATCTTCTTATGTATATCTTCTCGGATTAACGTTACCTGACTACCAGTATCTATTAACAACCTACGGCTTTGTGTCCAAACAAATTGCATTTAAAACACTTAAATCCTTTACTCTTATTGTTACAAAAATCCGACTTATGACCTAAACCTCCACAATTATACTACTTTGGCTCTTTAATCTTACTACGTACAGCGCGTGTTTTATTTTGTGTGTTAGTACTTGAATAAATTTTTCGTATCTGGAACGCGAATTTTCTCATAAATTTTTAATTTCTCTTTGAATTCAGAAATAGTTTTACACCCGTACAAAACAATTTTGTTACTACTCTGATCTGGTATCCCATTGATTACATAATCAAGAATTGATGAATCATCAACAGAACCACGACTGGCTATTTCATGCA